ATGGAAAGGAAATCAAATACTAAGAATCATAGATGAAGTACATACCTCCATTTTCGAGTAGGAAGTCCCCAAAGATCCATTAGGTCTTTACTATGGTTGTAATAAAGGGCTAGGTTATGGGTTTTGAAAGAAAGGATAGGAAAACTAGAACTTGAGACATACCAAGGCATTTATCGCGCTATAAGGCTTGGCTCTTCAAATTTACTTCACAAAGGCGTCCAGGATTTTTGATATGCTTCACTTTTTTTTTTCTTTTTTTTTTTTCTATTTTCTTTTTCTTTTTCTTTTTCTTCAACTTTAAGCACATATTTCCTCGGTACACGCCACCTCTTTTGTTGATGTAGAGCTTAACCTTCATCCTTGTCTTAATGTGCCATAGCATATCCCAAGTTATAGGGTATGGCTAAAAATAGGGTAAAAAAAATAAGGAAATATTTTGGGTGATGAAAGAAAATGCTAAGTGTTTGGCTTCAAAAGGTTGATGGCACACACAATGGGTAGGACATGAGGCTTTATTTAGTGGTTAGAACATGCATAGCCTAACATCATCTCTCAAGGTCCATCCAACTCAAAAGTAAAAGCATAAGATGATTCATACAAATAGAGATTAGTTCTTAGTATTCAATTCAAAAGTCTAATTGAGATCAATCTAAATTGAAAGAAATAAAATAGTGGATAAGAATAGTCCCAAATACTCTCTCAATGAATAGCAATTTGTCTCAAGTATCTCACAATGGTAGTCTCCACTATTTCTCCACAATCATCCAAGTATAGCTACCTTGTCACTCAAAATACTTGAAGCATGGCTATGTGAAGTGCTCTAATTATGATGCATAAACTTTCATGGCAACACTCTAGTTAAATAAATATGATCAAACATCACATATACATCACTATTAGTAAGAGAAAGTAAAAGCTTCAACAAATTTTTATTTTTTCAAAAGTTAAAGGAACTTTGTGTGTTTGAAAACAAATATGCATGAATTTATGAGTCCTAATTGCTTAAGAATAAAAAAATTTCATCAAAAGGAAGAGGACACACTTGGAATAGCTCCTAGAAATCTCTGATTGCAAATGGAATGGATTTGAAATGATTTGGAATGAAATAAAAAAAATTCTGGAAAATTGACCTTTAGCGAAGAAAAATATGATGAACACCGTCGCAGAAACCCTTTAGCGACGAAAAATCTGATGAACACCGTCGCAGAAAAGTCAATTAGGGACGAAAAATCTTCTTATTCTGGGTAGATTGCAGCTAGCCTTTTTTGGGTTTTAGGCCACTTTTTTAGCTTCAAATCTTCCTAAAACGTCATATAAACCACTTGAGACCCCCAAACCTGTTTCAAATCATCATAATAACCATTCTAAACATGTTAGTGGCTTCGAATTCCCCTGAAAAACATCAAAAAAGAAAAGATGCAGAAAATTTAATTTTGACCAAAATAAGAACATAATAACCTCTTTTGCTATTTTCTGGGTTTTAAAGTCATCTAAGGACCAAAACAACTCTTGTAACACATCTGTAACATGTTGCAACCATCATGGGGTTCGAACCAATCAAAAAAACGTTCTTTGAAACACAAATTCCTTTCTTTGGAACATAAAATCTATTTTTTTTTTCTTTTCTTTCTTTTCTTACTTTATGACTCAAAACTCAAATAACAACAAAAACAACAAAATTCCACACCCCCAAACCTAAACTAAGCATTGTCCTCAATGTGGAAAGTAAATGCATGTAATAATTAGTAAAGGCATAGAAGGATGGAAAATAAAGAGAAAACACAAAAATTAAGAACACGGAACGAAAGTACCTAGTTGGGTTGCCTCCCAACAAGCGCTTGGTTTATAGTCCTCGGCCCGACTTTTTGAAGATGATCACTTGGTGTCTCGGAAAGGGATTTGAGTTGGGGGTGGAATGGGGTCGGCTTCCAAGTACGGCTTCAAGCGTTGACCATTGACTGTGAACATAGTAGTTGTGGCTTCATTACGAATCTCAACGGCACCATAAGGAAAAACTTGAACAACTGTAAATGGGCCGGACCATCGGGAGCGAAGCTTGCCGGGGTAGAGCTTGAGGCGCGAATTGAAGAGAAGGACTTTTTGACCAGCGTGAAACTCCTTGCGCACTATGTGTTTGTCATGCCATGCTTTTGTTCGCTCCTTACAAATCCTTGCATTCTCATATGCTTCGTTGCGAAATTCATCCATCTCATTTAATTGCAGCATCCTCTTCTCACCCGCAGCACCCATGTTAAAATTCAAGGTCTTGATTGCCCAATAGGCTTTATGCTCTAACTCCACTGGTAAGTGACATGCTTTTCCAAAAACTAGTCGATATGGTGACATTCCAATAGGAGTTTTAAATGCCGTACGATATGCCCAAAGTGCATCTTCTAACCCTAGGGACCAATCTTTTCGTGAAGTTCCAACGGTCTTCTCCAAGATCTTTTTTAATTCTCGATTGGAAATTTCAACTTGCCCACTTGTTTGT